TTTTAATTATATCTTATATTCGAATTTGTAGACGAAAATTTATATATTATAGTAAGTCAAGAACATACAATCATTTTAATTAAGCGTATATTTTAAATTTAAAAAATATTAAAAATTGCATTCCGGCATTGTGTCGATATCACAATAAATAATTACTTGTTAATGTTAAGGAGATTTATTCATTGATTCTGCGTAATGAATTATTTCGTATACTCTTTTATGTACACATACTTTGCACTAATGACAGCTTATATAAAAATTCCAACAATTGTAGCTGTTTGAATTACATTTTTGCAATTATTTCAAATGACTATTGCAGTTTTTGTTAGTATATAACCATGTAAGACACAATGGAAAGAATTCGAATGTGATTTTTTCAATAATACCATTGCATTATCATTGGTTGTTTATCTTAGTTACGTGTATCTATTTTCTATATTATTTTATTTCTCGTATATTAAAAAAACGAGTAAAAGATTGAAGGGTATATAAGTATATTTTATGATCTATTGCTTCTTCCCCAGGCAATTGCGAGTTTGAACCTTTTTGTTACATTTCAATATTGTTTGTTTTTTACTTGGTCAACTTTGAGAACATTTATAATTACAATAATTCAGTAAAGTTTTGACATATCTACATTAACCCCTTTGTAAAAATTATTTCGAGGTTTCTAATCGTTGAAAATACTTTATTATGTAGAATGGACTGTTGATATAGTGACATCGATATAGTGAATTTTTAAATTAACGAAAACAATATGATCTATGCTATTTTTTTAAAGATGTAAAATGGGCATTTTTATAAATGTATTAAAAAGTTAGTAATAAGAGTACGCAGCGAGAATCAGATTAGAGAAAGAATGTAGCCGCGCTGCATGACTATATTTAACAATTACTTTTCGAATTACTTTAAACCCCTTCCGCAACGATCCGGAATTTCTATCGCACCAGCGGTACGATGGCATTGGAACTGGAAAATCCAAAATACGAGGTTCTCGGTCCGCACAAAATATGTTTTAAGTGGTTATCGAGGGTGCCAAGTTCGTTCGTTTTTCGCGAAATTTGATTCGTCGTCATATGACCATTTGATATTCGCCCGTGAAAGGAACACTTTTTTAGAGGTAAGAAAAAATTATGGTAGTTGAAAAAAACTAAGATACCACATTGGTGTCTACTTGACCTATGAATCTGTACCATTTCGTGCCGTTTGAGTATAATAATAAACATGATAATGGTAGGCCAAAATAACCAAACTCTTTATATGGTTTTTGTTTTAATATTTATTACACTGTAGTATTTGATTTATGTAACGACAAAGGTTAACTTAGATAGTCCACTTGGTATAATAAACCCTTACTAACACATTTTCAAAATTGTTTATTTCTCTACTGTATACAATTTAAGAAAATTTTTAAATTCATAGCAGTTGGTATTATAATATGATATAATATAAAAAAATGTAGTGTTCTTAATGTTTGTTGTTACTTTTTACCCGAGCAGGCCGGGCTCATCTAGTCAATGTATACATATAAATGAGAATGCTTGTTTGTTCGATATACACTCTTATGCCGTTCTACCAGTTGCTACGACACTTGGCAATTACGTATACTTTTAACTTAGATAATGATGTACTTATTTTGGTTTATTACGAAGATCGGATCGTATTAAAAAAAATGAATTACGTGATGCAAAAACATAACGTCATTGCTGTATCACGTGACGGCTATAAACTCCATTATATATGCACTCCAGATGCAAATTTCAGAGAATTTTTCCCTATAGCAAAACATTAGAACTAAACTTATTATTTAGAAAATTAAAATTTCATGGTCAAAAGTATGCGTGTTAAATTTGATTTCTTTTTAACTGTCTGCCCCCTGAGACAAACTCGTGCAATGTTCTGTCAAAATCACTGTCTTTAGAAACACAGACAAAGAAGTGACGAAATTGGATGCAAAATGCAAAATTTTAACATTAAATCGTGTCACTATGCAATAATAAAATTTTCTCGTTGTTGAGGAGAATCTATTGTTGACTTGTGCGATTGTTTAATGCGAGTGCTTTTTCAAGTTTTGCTTCGTTTGCAGAGATTGTTTAAAGTGATGTAAGTTTACACTATGACCTTTGCAGATTTAAATACTCTTTAACTTTGATCAGCAAAATATCACAGTTGGCGGCCATCGGTTTCGATCAGAATTAATCGGTTTCCTTCGGAGAAATCGCATCTTTTCATTGTTAATTTTCCAATAGCAAAATAAAAATTAATAAATAGCCTGGTTTAAAATTTGTTATTTCTCGCTATAGTTTATAAATTACATACGTATATAGGCCTATATTAATATCCCATATGAAATTCGTCTAAATCTTAATTAATTAAAATAATTCCTCTATTTTCGCAGTTGCTTTGTTTTATGGCACGGCAGTCAACAGAATAGTTCAATTTTTATAAACTAATTCCTCTATCGAACATAAAAATTGTTGAAAAAATTAAAATTTCAGATAAGCTTATTGNAGAATTTAACATTAGTAAATAACATAAAATAAATATTAGAAATTATAACCAGATAGTTATGGCTAATAGATATATTTAAATTGATATATGCTATATGTTTTTATGAAAGCAAGTCTTTTTCTTCCTAGCGTTGAAGTCCTGCTTCTATGCGAGGATCCGCTTTTTTCATGCCCTTCTCTATTTGGTACGGTCCAATGCGTCTTCCAGCGTGACGTTCACCCTTTTCACGTCATCTTGCAGTCGATCCATCCACCTAATTTTGGGACTCCCTCGGGGTGGTTGTTCAGGTGGGCTGAGTTGCAATGCTCTCTTCGCAACTGAGTGTTCATCACTACGAATGACATGGCCATACCATCTGAGTCTTGCTTCCCGCATCTTTTCAGATATAGAGGGCACTCTCATGATCTTTCGGATGTCTTCATTCGGGATGTGGTCGAGTCGGATAAAGCCGAGGCACCAGCGAAGCATCTTCACTTAAATGGTATGGAGAATTTGTTCATGGCTAGCATTCCGACCCGTATATAGGCACTGGGCGGACGACGGATTTGTAGACTCACGCTTTCAGCTGGGTCTGCATATGACGGTCACAAAGGACGCCAGTGCATTGCCGCCACTTTAGCCAGGCTGCATTGGCTCGCGCCTCTGCATCCAGGGTGGATTCACCATCATTGCTGATGAGTGAGCAAAGGTATTTGAATTCAGCGGGCTTCTTAAAGTCTTCTCCGTTAATGTTAATGGACCCGTTCGTCTGGGTTCCACACTCTAGGTATTCGGTCTTCTTGGTGTTGAGCCTGAAACTGACACTAGCAAAACAATCATTCCACTAGAAGACTTGGTCCTGTAACTGCTGTCTCGACTCTGCAAAAAGGAGAATGTCATCTGCATAGAGTAGGTCCATGGGTGTGGACGTCGATATTGGCTGTTGTACAGTCCATGCAGAGGATGAAAAGGAGAAAAGAGAAAACTGATCCCTGGTATACATGAGCTTTGATGCTGAACATGGGTGAGGACCCACTGGACATCTGACCACACTGGTCGCACAGTGTACAGTGTACAAAGCAAATATCAAAGCAAGTATCGACATTAAAGGGCATACTTGAGAATCTATTGATTCTAATAACAGAGTTAATTATATTGAAGTTGTTTTTTTATTAATTACGTCAGATAAATAATCTATAAAAAGACATTTTATAAATTAACCGATTGTCCCTGGAAGTCAACTCCTTAAAGAAACACATCTTCAAATTTCACGGCACGCCACTAATATAGAAGTCACTTTACAATTTATTTTCTATTACACTTCGGGATAAAATAAAATCTGAGGAGAACAACGACGCAATCGATCTATATTTTGAGGCATATGGAGGCAGACGCTACCGTGTAAGGAGATGTTAAAAATTCCTCCTCGAACTTTTTCATTCAGTTTGCAATCGCGGGTTCGCACCTTACCACGTGCAGTTTTTCGGGTTTTGTTCACTTCTGTAATAAATACCAAAATAGAGGGTAGTTTCCTATAGAAAGTCTTGGCACGCAATAACCGTTGGTAGATCACTCGTATATTACATTGCCTAATCCAACTATTGCTTATAGAAAAACATTTTAATTTTTCTCTTTTAAATGTAGTAAATTTAGGTTATTTATTTATTTATTCCCAGAAAGATCAACATGGCATTCGAAGTGCACATGGTTGTATCCATCGTCTTCCTTACTGTAGGTTCCGTAATGGTATTTGTAAAATTGGTTCTATATTGCTTGATCAAACCGATCTTTACGATCGATTAGTGACGTCGGTTTTTCCGCCATCCCCGGCGAAAGTTTCAAGCGCACCTTCTCCTTCAAATTCGGAATTAATCCGCTATAGCCCCACTTAAAATGATATTAAATTACATAAGGATCGTTGGGACTGAGTATTTCGTTAAACTTGTCTTTTATTTTTATGAAATTTCATTTTTCATGCCATTGTTTTTTTTCAAACTTGCAACTGTTTATAATTATATTTGGATCATAAAATTTAAATATTTTTCTTTTGTTATGAATCGGGTACATGTTTTCTGTTTTCGTCATTATAAACATTATTATTAATAATAAATATATCAAAAAATGCGCAACTTTAATAAATATCGCATCTATAAACATTTAGTATAAAATTTAATTAGTTTTATTGAATATAAAAGTTTATGTACAAATTTAATTGTTTAAGTAATTATGATTGTGGAGTAAACAAACCGAGTACGTGTATTTTTTGGTTTATTTAAATTGGTCTGGTATGCCTTTTAGTGCCGAATATTCGTTATTTGGCGGTAAAAGATTTTAGCAGTAGAACACCGGATGAAATACAGTGTAAATGTCTGTAAAATATAAATCGTTTTTGGCCGGTTATAGTCGTTTAAACAGCTTTTAATTAATTAAACACGAGAATACTGCTTGGTGTCACTGTCGTTGTTCTATATGCTCTTTAACCATATCTCGTATGTTTTCGAAGTATCCGTCTGTAAATTGGAATGGAAAGTCAAATCCAGTCGATTAAGTCGTAGCCGGGTGAAAGGTCTTTTCCTGGTGACTGTCATATTCGGGTAAAAGGTCACTTTCGAGTTGCGATGTTAGATTCGGTGGAAAGGCGAAATCTGCGCAACAAGGCCTGGCAAGAGAAGAGGTTTATGTCGTCCAGCAGCAGAACAATTTTTTCCACCAAGGCCTTTTACGCTCGACGGACTCTTCCACCACATCTTCCGACTCCTTTCCTTCCACTCCGGTCTCCACCGTCCATTTGAAAACCTCCGGATATCGCCCCTCCAAATATTGGACGAGAGACGAGGCGGTATCGTCGGGAGTTACGACCACTACGCGTTTGACGTCCGGTGTATGACGCTTCTCCTGCGCATTTTTCGGAAGCACCCTTATGACACCTGGCCAAGACAAGGCGTCATCCTCGGACTCTGCATTGTCCGAGATGCGCAACTTCTTCAACTCTCTGAAATTCTCCATTCTGCAAAGGAAAATTAGACTATTAATTAAGAAATATTCGTTTTCTAATCTGAATTGTAAATTTCTAATGCAAAAATTATTAATTCCGGTTAGAAAAGAATATTATTATATATAATAATTTTAATCTTTTCGA